GGGGGGTTTCCCCTACAGAAAATTTGGCCAGTTCCAATTTGGACTCCGTGGCCTGAGTTACCTGTGCTGTCTTTTGGTAAGCGAAGGCAGTGAGAGGTTTTAGAATTGGAAGGAATTTCCAAGTTCCCCACAGCACAGCAGAAGGGTGGCCTAGTGGCTAGAGCACGAGCCTAGGACTTGAGACCCGGGTTTAATTCCCTGCTTCGCCACAGACTCCCTGCGTGATCTTGGGCATGACCTTTACACTGTACCTCAGTTCTCATCTGAGAGATGGGGGACAAGAGCCCTGCCCTACCTCATGGCGCATTGTGAGGATAAGCTACGCAGTGAGGTGCTCGGGCACGAAGGTAACTCGGGGTCAGAAAAGAACCTCATGCAGGGAACATTGGTGCTGTCTCCCAGCTGCTGGTATTAGACACAGGTTACATACATTTCCCACTCCTAAACTTCATGCACCCCCAATCTCCTTCCAGCTGTCGTTACTTCCACATCTACAGCCATCAGGACACAAGACCTTGACCCCCTCAACTAAAAGGGGGACAAAGGCAAGTGAGAACACCCAGATCTTCAGTAGTTTTTGCTCCCCAGTAGCAAACGGACTACAAAGTGACATTCAGTTGCCTACAGGTCCTTAGCTTTGGGTCAGACTTTATAAACCCAATGGAAATTGGGCATGATGTTGCTTACACCCATCTAATAATGTGCTTGTAGACAACATATGCTGATGGGGGAGTAATGGATGGCGTAAGGCCGGGCCTACATTACCAACGTAGGCAAGTATAACGCCATCATTCAGGGGTGTGAAAAATCCACACCCTGGAGCGACGTAGTTATAATCGGCCTTACACCGGGTGTAGATAGCGTTCTGGCGATGGGAGAGCGTCTCCCGTTGACATAGCTACCAGCACTCGGGGGCAGGAGGGAAAGAAGGGGTGGAGGACCTACGTCAGAGGTGGGCAAACTACGGCCTGCGGGACCCTCCTGCCCAGCCCCTGAGCTCCTGGCCCAGGAGGCTGGCCCCCCGGCCCCTCTCCTCCTGTCCCCCCTCCCCTGTAGCCTCAGCTAACTGCGCCGCTGGTGCAATGCTCTGGGCGGCCGGGCAGCGCAGCTGCTGAGCCGTGACTTGACCTGGTGCTCTGGGTGGCGCGGCTGTAGCGCCGCCAGCCACCGGTGCTCCAGGCAGCGTGGTAAGGGGGCAGGGAGCAGGGGTGGTTGGATAGAGGGCAGAGGAGTTCTAGGGGGTGGTCAGGGGTGGGGGTGTGGATAGGGGTTGGGGCGGTCAGGGGACAGGGAGAAGGGGTGGTTGGATGGGGCAGGGGTCCCAGAGGGGCAGTCAGGAATGAGAGGAGGGGTTGGATGAGGCGGTGGGGGTCTGGGTGCGGTCAGGGGACAGGGAGTGGTGGATGGGACAGGAGTTGCAGGGGGTCTGTCAGGGGGTGAGAAGCAAGGGGGGGTCAGATAGGGGTTGGGGGCCGGGCCACACCCATCCCTAACCAGCCCTCCATACAATTTTGGAAACCCGATGGGGCCCTCAGGCCAAAAAGTTTGCCCGCTCCTGACCTATGTCAATGGGAGAGGTTCTCCAGTTGGTGCAGTAACATCTTCAGTGATATAAAATGCTGCACTGTGGCAACTGCAGACCTGCCCTAAGCACGCCCCATTTATTCAGGCGTATTATTTTATAAACAAAGCATGCCCCATTTGTTGTTTTATAAACAACGCTTCTGTATGAAGCGAGAGAACTGTGTGAGGTGACGGCGTCTCAGAAGCCAGCTCCTTTCGGTAACACTTTGGCACCACCAACATTATAAGACTGAGGCCAGAGCATTGTCACCCATCTGAAGTACAGAGTGCCCAGAACAAGCCTTTGGAGTGCCCGCCCTGGTGTTGATTTGTTCCCATCCAGTCTGGAGCTGGTGACTGGTTGCTATGGCGCATGCAGCAGATTCTTCACTCACGGCTTTTTGATGAAACACCTATTGGTCATTCCCAGCTAGCTACCATCCCAGATGAACCTTACCCATTCAGTGCAGAGGCAGCGTCAGCAGCTCTAGACCCACCCAGGGATCAGCAGTCAGGGCTACTTTGCTGAGGTCCTCCAGATTATGTTCAACTGAAATCAATCCAGATTAACGAGCAAAGGGGGTGAGAAAATTACGATTTTACAGAACGAACAATGGTTGGTTTTCAGGCGCATGACTCGCCCGTTCTGCAATTTAACGCAAGTCAGAAGGTTTTATCATGAGATCACTGCTTCCCCAATGGAAGGGCCATCAATTTGCACAAAGTGAAGGCTCTGATCAGAGCTCTGTCATTCATCAAGATGTGGGGGCTGGGAGGATTTGGGGGGGCTGGGAGGGGAAAGAAGTGTTTTGCTCTGACAGTCCTAACCTTTGCCACACCTAGGGCATCTACCCTTCTGTTGTATTCTGCGTAGGTTCATACACCCCCACGCCCCACCACAGCATCCAAGCAGCTACCAGCAGGCCATTGAACATGACTAGTGTGTCCCGTGTGGTTTGTTCTCTCCCCCAGGGGGAGAATTGTGTGATCAGTGCAGGGTTGGGAGAAGTTGAGCCATTCCCAGATCCAGGGTGGTTTTGTATTTTATTGGCCAATGGGTGGCTTTTCTCTGCACCCGGGAAGGCAAAGCACCATTGCTGTCGAGCCTGGGAAGGAAGAGAGCGGCCCCCATATCCACCACTGTGAGGGAGATCGCCTTTGCATGCATCTCAAGCCCCCAAAGTTTCTCCCAGAGTCCGCACTCTCCAGCATGCTCAGACAGAGTGGTGACTGGTTCCATGAGTCCCTGCACAGAAGGTCCTTGCTTTTGTTCACCAAGTGACCTTCTTTGCTCTTCGTCTATAAGCAAAGATGCAGATGGGGTGGAGGTCAGAGCAGGACAATAAATTCTTCCTTTGGCCGGTTGGCCTCTGCCTCACCCCTTTGGCTTCCCACAGGGTATGAAGGTTTCCCCGTCACTGCCAGGAACCAGCAAGCGCCTAACCCCACAAAGGGCGTCTTTGCTCCCCTAGGTCTTCTCTCAGTTAGCACGCTCCTACCGTCCATTAGCCTGGGGCAGCTAAAACCTTGATCTAGACAAGTGAATTTAGTTATTGACTATCTGGAGAAGCTATTGTCCTGTGCAGCTCTTGGGCTGATTGACTTGTCCAACCCATGGCTGAAGAGGAGAACATGCCTCCAACTTCAGTTTCCGCGTACAAGGTGACCGGTGCCGCATGTTGCTTTTCAGAGCCCTCAACGTGCCAGGCACAATGTAGGAATATAGGACCATGTTAGATGTGGGTGAACTATGGTTTTAAATTGAGGTGGGATATTGGCATAAGCAACAGGCCCAAAGCATGTGACCAAAATGGCCGAGGTCATGAGAAAGAAGAGGTGTGTTACACTTGTCGTGACCCTTAGAAAAATCAGTTCTCTTATTTAAGGTTCAGGCTAAGGTAACAGAATTAAAACATGCTTAATTGGGTACCTGGTTCAGTAAATTGACCAAATAAGAAATGCCTTCATCTTGCTGTAGCTAAGGCCCAAGGATTGGCAATGACATCACTTGTTTGTTAACAGGTACAGAAAAGTAAACTCTTAAAAAGGGTTCATCGCTAAATACCCACCTGACCAAGTGGAAGCCAAATGTTTCTAAGCACTCCTGGGGTTAGCCCATTTGTAAGTATCTTGCAACAGAAGCATTTGATCTAGTTGCATGTAGTGAATTGCTTATTAGTTAGGCACATTTAGAGCAACTGTATGAACAGCTTTCGGCCTTTGGATTGAACAAAGAAAATATGGTTAAATCGGTGTTGCAGCGATACCCTCCATAAATAATCATCATAGTAATAATTGCAACACGTGATCTATGGGAGAGAGGCAGGTGATGCGAGTCAGAAAAGGTATTTAGCAACGCAGCAGGCCCAACATGCAGGTCATGGCCACTAACAGTAGAAGAAACATTTAGGAGAGACACTTAGGCAGGAGGCCAGTTTTCAGCCTCAGATCAGCCAGATGGGCCCCTGGGAGTCACGGTGAGATCAGCAGCATGGGCGTAAGGGGAGCAGAGGTTTAGAACCATCAGATCACCCTGATGAGGCAGTGCTGTTATCCCCATTTCACAGATGGGGAATGAAGTTTAAAATTAGAGAATTAAAGTTAGCTTGAGTTTGGTTAAGGAAATGTGTGTGTTGTAAAGAAAGGCCCTGACTAGCAAGACGCAGGAAGGCTTTGGTAATAGTTGTAAAGCCAGAAAGAATGAAGTAGGGTGGATGTCTGGCTCAAAGAATAACTAATAAGATAGGGGAGGTTTCTAAAAAGGCCTTTGACTGATAGGGTTAACTGCAAATGATTTAAAATCAAACCAAGAGAATCGGTCTTAAAATGAGCCAACATGGCCCTCCCCCAACCCACACACCAGTGTTAAAGCCGATGTGACTCCAGGTGCAATGGGAAAACTGGTGAACAGCAAGAAGGAGGGGAGGAAAGACCTTGGGAGGAATGGAGGTTGTAAATCTTATCTGGATTAAGACTGGAAATCAGAGTGAACGGTCTCAGATTGGTTTTTAGCTGAAGTGAGTCATTGGCAATGACATCACTTGTTTGTTAAAGGATATACAAAAAGTAAACTCAAAGGGTTCATTGCTAATACCTGCCTGACCACACTGGAGCCAACCAATATGGATCAGAACAACCCTGGTGTTAGCCCATTCGTAAATCTCTTGATCAAGTGCTTCTAAATATGTGGTTACTGTCTGGATGTAGTAAGTTGCTTAATAATTAGACTTTTTCAGAGCACCTGCAGAACATACCATTTGGCCTTTGGATTTAATAAAGAAATTTATGGTTACATTGTGTTTGGCGCTTTCCCATATTAATTTCAATTATGAATAATTCCAGCAGATGGGGAACTAAGGCACAAAGGTTAAGTGACTTGCCCAATGTCACAAGAAGTCTGTAGCAGAGCAGGGAATTGATACCAGGTCTCAAGGCCTAGGCTAGTGCTCTAACCACTGAGCCACCCTGCCTCTCAGACACCAGAGTAAGATAACCAACCCCAGCGCTAGAGCCTCGTTGCAGGAGTGGGTTTTTACAGACTAGGCCCCTCACAGAAGCAGCTGACGCAGTGGCCACACTTCTGTAAGGAACAACTGCACTGAGGGAAGGACAGAGCCCAGTAGCCACAGCGGAGAACAGAGAAGCACTTTCTGTGCCTAGCTTGAGAGCATATGTGCCAGCAGAGAGGTTGCGGTACTCATGGAGATTCTGTCTTTCAGCCACCAACGCATGATCCCAAAGGGGGGGGGGGGGAAAAACGACACAGAACAAACCTTGTAGTTGTTGGAGAGTTTGTTGGCTTCCACCTCGTTCTCTGCCGTGATGGTGGTTTTCACCAGGCAGCCGTCACAAATTTGCACCTCGTCAGAGAGGTGCTGGCAGCAGGCGGGGGTCGAGATCACTGCGCAAGAGATCAGCGAGGAGAAGCACAAGATTTAGACACACAGCAGCCCCAGACAGCATAGAGCTGCCCTGTAAGAATCCTGCAGAGATCAGGCATGTCCGTCCTGTAGGGAGCTCAGAGCTGGTACAATATTATTTATTTGCATTACCATAGTACCTATGAAGCCATGGCCAGGACCCCGTTCTACCACATGCTGTACAGACACAAAACACTAAGACAAAATAAATTTGCCAGTCTCAGCAAGAAGAATGTGCCAGCATCAGTCTGCTGCTATTTGAAGGGTCAAATTAGTCAGTCACCCCGGGAAGACGGCTGATGGGTATTTGGGTGGGTGATTCTAACCCACCAGTCTCAGCACATCATGATAGTCCAAAAAAGGCATCCTACCAAGTACAGTGTATTCGATCCACCTGTTTAAGAAGTTTACCACCCAATCAGGGCGTAGAAGCAGTGCCATGTGTGGTAGACACTCAAACCACGCAACGCTGTTCTTCCAAACCAGTGGTTCCCCACGCTGTGGCCTGTTGTACATCACACAACCCAGAGCGCTTGCTGGGGGTGCGTGGAGAGCTGGCGGCCCACCAGGTGCTGGCTCCCACAGCTAAATTGGATAAGAGATGATTAAAGAGCCATTCCTCACAGACTTTGGCCTGGTCCACACTAACTCCCCACTTCGGACTAAGGTACGCAAATTCAGCTACGTTAATAACGTAGCTGAATTCAAAGTACCTTAGTCTGAACTTACCGCGGGTCCAGACGCGGCAGGCAGGCTCCCCCGTCGATGCCGTGTACTCCTCTCGCTGAGCTGGAGTACCGGCGTCGACAGCGAGCACTTCCGGGATCGATCCCAGAAGATCGATCGCTTACATCCGGACCAGGAAGTAAGTGTAGACGCTCCTTTCTGGCCTTAAAGGGTACATCATGATCATCTAGTTTCACCGGCTCAGTACAGGCCACAGAAACCCACCCATGCTCTCCTGTGGTAGGCCCCTAACCCTGCAATTTCGTGTGCCGGTTCCTTTAATATTCCTGGATGGAGATTTTCCAGGCCCCCCAATTTGATCCCATAAAACACTTTTCCTATGAATTGCTAGAGTTGTCACTGAAACTAGCAGGAGAGGGGGTCCCTGAGCCCCATCTCTCTTGGACAGGCGGTTCCCTGCTATGGTGACGTTTGAGGACCCCCCGCCACGACAAACAGTTCAACACAGCCACGTTCCCAAAAGTCACAAGTAGTTTGGAAAACATGTAACAGAAACGATTCATAGCCAGTCCTTCCAGCCAGTCTCAGGAGTGAACGAGAAGGGACAGGGGAGCCCAGTCCCCCTCTGGGGCTTTAGTGAGATGTTGCTGTGACCAGAGAGAAGGAAAAGGACTAAACCAAGCCGATATGAGAAACAACAAAGAGCTGATGATGCATTTGTCAAATTCAATATGCCCCGCAGGGGAAGTTACCAAGAGAGAACTGCGGGGGGTTGTACCCAAGGTGTATTATTATTATTAAATCGCAGATCCTAAACACCCCCTGAATGAGGTCAGCATTCAGGAATGGCAGGAGAGAGGTAAAGCAGCCATGGCCGAGCGTTCTTGGCGCAGACTGTACCTCCAATAGCTGCTTTTGATGTAGACCTGTTTAACCCTTTCATTGCTGCTCCCCCTGTTCACTGAAATCAAGGGAATACCACAGTGTTCTACCTACAGCATTCGCAAGTAGTCCCTTGGCAAGAGCATTATTCCTCCTAGCTAGATGCAGGTCATGAGAGCACTCCTTGTCTGAAGTCTGCTCTGGCCCAGCCTCACACTCACTATTTAAGCATTGGGGTTTTTTGCAACCAGAGACCAGTCTCCGCCCCCCAGTAGTGCTAGGTTAGCCTGCCAGTAGAGGAATGCGTAACAAGAAGTTTTATTTCAAGATCTTTGATGTTAGAAAACCCTGAAGTTCTTGCTATTACAAATAAGCTATACTCAGCACCACCATGCTAATATAACCCATCTACGACAGTAGGATTTCAGGGGACCCACCCATATAATGAGCCCAGGACTCCTGGGTTCTGTTCCCAGCTCTCCCATCCACTTGGAAGTCACTCTATGCCTCAGGTCTGCTCCTCTAAGAGGGCAGATTGCCTCTCCTAATGCCCTGAGAGGCAGGCATCACTTGTATTTGCCAAGCACTTAGATCCTTCAACCAAAGGTGCTAGGTGAGTGCCACAAGGTTTTGGTGTGTGACCCAGAGCTGGAGAAGATGGTCACAGACGGACCCCTTTGTACTTGGAGTCTCCCTGGCATTCCCTGGGCTCTCTGCACAGTTTGTGGCAGTGCATTTCTTAGCTACGGCGCATCAGCCACCCCATCCTCTCCTCTCAAGAGGGACTGAATGAGAAAGGCACCAGCTAGAACCCTTCCCCATTGCCCCCGAGGCCAACTCCGTGCAGTAACCCCAGCACCACTCCAGGTGACCCTTTCAGCTCCGCTCACCTGGCAGTATCCTGGGGGTTATTATGCTGTGCTGATGGGATCCCGAATGCATGTCCCCAAGGTCTCCATTGTTGTTAATGGCAGCACAATGCCGGTCACACAGCGACCCTCGCCGATGAGGGTCGACCCGGTGCTCAAATTCCTTGGGGAAATCTGAAACGGATACGGTAAAGGGAGAGTGAGCGAAGGAGCCAGTCCCCATCGGGGTGCAGTGCTTCTAAGAGGGAGCAGTTATGGATGCCAGACTGGCAGAGTGTCATTATTAGGAACAGGCAGGGTGGGGAGAGAAATGCTGAAGGTGAGACACATGGACAGAGCGGGAAAAAAGGCCAAATCCGAAGAGACGATGGAGGAGTTTCTCTATGACAGCAAACACCTGAGGACTTTTTCCAATGCTGCATTCTGTCTGGCTCATCTTGCTTAGGGCAGCCTTGGGGAAGGCACCCCATTTTTACAGCTCTGTGGACTAACACAGCAGCCACTAGATGTATCAAGGAGGAAAACTCAAGTGGGAGGCAGGATTTGTGTTACATGGAATGTTTGCTTCCTGCTGGGTTAGCGAGTAGCAGCCGTGTTAGTCTGTATCCGCAAAAAGAACAGGAGTACTTGTGGCACCTTAGAGACTAACAAATGTATTAGAGCATAAGCTT